GCAGCCGCAGCAACAGCAGCAGCAGCAGCAGCAGCACCGCCAGGGCTTCTCCAAACGCCGCCGGCGCCTGTTCAAGCGCCGGCTGCTCTGCCCCAGAGAAGGCAGGCATCTCCGCCTTCGCTGGCCGTGCCGCCAGCGGTGGTGCCTGCGCACGCGGTTGCCCCGTCGCTGGCCGAGTCGCCGCGCTGCCCCCACCCCCCGATGCTGTGTTGAAGCTCTCGGGGGATCTGATCCCGCCCCCCTGGCCAGGCAAGCCACGCCATATCCCGGACCACCCGAGGCTAGCCGAAGCTACCCGAGGCCGCTCCAAGGCTGTCCGAAGTCATACCGAGGCTACCCGAGGCCATTCCGAGGCTGTCCCGTGGCTGCGAGGCCATCAGGACGCCGAATAATGCAGCAAGAGTCGGGGCACAGGTCCCCCGCATATTTTACGCAACTGACGCTGAGGCATCGCCGCTTCCTGCGAGCCAAATTGGCTGCGAAGGAAGCGGCGCCACAGGTCGAGGTCGGCCCCGAGACACCGCAGAGGCGGCGAGAACGCTGGTCGAGAAGGCCCCGCAGGCGTCAGCGCCCACTGCTGCGGGGCCTCGAATGGTCAGAAGGGCCCCGATCGGGGCTCCCAAATGGACGGCTCTTCGAACCGCCGATTCGTGAAGAACCAGCCGGATCTGCCGCAGTCCGCGGCAGCGGCGCCGGCGGCGCCCCTGGATGCCCCACGCGTGGCAGCAAGCAGGTCTTCTCCAACGCGGCCCTGCGAGGTGGATGGCGCGAATGCGGAGCCCAGCCGGGCCCGCGTCCTTGACTACCTACCAGACCACCCCAACCCAACCCGAAGACCCGAATTTCGGGTTGGGGGGGCACGGGTTCCATTTGTGTTTTTCAATGTTCCCCCACCTCCCCACTGGAAATGGAGTGCAAATTGAGGCCTGCGGGTTGGGTTGGGGTGGTTCGGTGGGTGGTGGCCAACGCGGCCCTGCGAGGTGGATGGCGCGCATGCGGAGCCCAGCCTGGCCCGCGTCCTGAGAGACGGCGCTGGGCGGCTCGAGGAAAGGACGGGGCGGGGCGCGAGGGAGGCAGGGAGGCACCCCTGCGAACGGAAAGCCAGCTCGGGTGAGCGGCTAGTGTTAGGTCGGGCCTGTCCCCCTACAGGGGGATTTTCGACAAACAAAAAAATACCCCCAAAATAGTCAAAAAATAATCCAAACATACTCTGGGGACTATTTTTTGAATATTTCCTGGCCTTTTTGTTGCATTTGTGTGGTACTCTTCATTTTTCGTCGAAGATCCCCCTGTAGGGGAACAGGCCCGACAGAAGGCTAGTTTAGGACAGCCCCGAGGGGAAGAGACTCGCAAGTCTGAGACGAAAGATGTCGGTGGCAGCCCTCAGAGCGGGATCTGTTACCCTGGAGGACAGAGCTCCCCACACTCTGACCAGGGCCCGCGGCGGGGTGCCACGACCTGAAATCACTCTTCTGCCTCAAGCGCCTCCTCCGCACGCACTCGCCCCGCGAGGGCGGCACGCCGCGGGCGGGAACGATCACAGTGAAAGTCGCCAGCTGCAGCTGCAGAGTTATCTGCGGTGGCCAGGATCACGACGGGGCGCACGATCATGCGCAGCCCATCAGAGGGAAGCTCCTGTCTGACTTGGGAAGGGGCCCGCGAGACAAACGGGAGAGGGCCTCCCGACCCTCACCGGTGGGCGGCCCACACCCCATGAAGGCAACCTCCTAAGCTGTTCTGCCCCAGACGCCCCGCACGTCGAACAGCGCAAGGCGGCGCTGGAGGTGAGCCGAGCGACAGCTGGGAGCAGACGAGCGCGCTCCACTGCTCGCAGAGTAACTGGTCGCACATGGCCTGGATCCGCCGCGGGGGGATCCACGAGGAATGGCATCGAAGACGGACATGCGTTGTGCGGACGTTTGCGAGGAGGCACTCTGCGAGCTGTGGAGCGCGCTGGGCGAGGGACGATCCGAGGGCCCCCGCCTCTCCTCGGCGTCCGAGGCGGCCAGCGGCTCCAAGGGGGCCCTCGGCCCGCAGTGGCTCCCCAGGAGCCAGGGGAGGAGGAGGAGGAGGAGGAGGAGGAGGAGGAGGAGGAGTAGGAGGAGGAGGAGGAGGAGGAGGAGGAGGAGGAGGAGAAGCCAGGGGCACGGCGCGCTTGCTGGGTGTGCCCATACGCGGCCAGTGAGAGGGCGGGAGCCCCGTTGCGCACAGAGGGGCCGTGGCATCGGGCACGCTTGAGCATGCAGCCGGGCTCGAGCGGCCAATCTGCCTGCTCGCGATCCTCGAATCGTCTGTGGGATGCCGGCCGCACGCGACAGGGTCGCACAGTGGCGGTGCAGCTGGGAACGTGAGGCATGGCAGCATGGCGCCAATCATTGCGGTTTGCTGCTGCTTTCTGTGATCCCGCGTGCAGTCGGGCTCGAGTGGGGAGGACGCGCGAGAGGGCACCAGACCCTTCTGAGGGCCACGTTGCCAGAGAAGTGCAGGAGGCATGGGTCGCAAGACGCAGGACACGAGGGTGCCCTTGATCTGGCAGGGTCGACCTAATAATCTGGGCCGCCTGTAGTCGGCTTGAGCTGGGGGTCGTGACCAGCGGAAAGGAGGCGCCTGGCGTCGGGCTTCGAGGGAGGTGGGCCCTGAGCGTCTCCTCGCAGCCTGCATTATCCTGAGAAGAATTCACCTCGCGCTTACACGTCAGACCAACTCCCGCTGAATAGCCAGCAAACGCAACAACATCTTCTCCTGAACGGCGCCGACCGCATGGACGGAAACAGCCGTCTCGGCCGACGCTTGACGTCTCCTCGCTCCTTCTTTCGCACATCGCCCCTTCATTCGCACAGAAGTCCGCGGCAGCATTCGCTACGCATTCAACCGAGGACAAGTGCAGAATTTCTACACGATGCTTGGTTTAGCGGGGATCCACCTTGCCTGTGCGCACCTGGAAACGGCCCCACACCAACACCCACAAGTCCAACTGAGAGCTCTTGTCACGGATGATTTCTTCAACGCGCCTACGAACATTCCGACAAACAGGGAGATGGCAGCACTTGCAGACGGGGGAACACCTCCGCCCTCGTCCCAAACATTCCGCCAGCAACCTCCTGCTCTTTCGCGTGGAGCATCGCGGCGCTCCCACCAACTGGACCCCTTCCAACAGGTAGTGTGGAGCAGCTTTGCCCGATGCCCACCCATCGCACGTAACCTTGAGTGCCCTGCACAAGAGGAACCGAAAGTCACGTTTATCAAAGTCCAGGGGGAATCCATACTCATCATGCCAAGGACATGGGAAAGTGGGGATCCAGCCGAGGTCGACAAGGACCGCCACCGCGGCGAGGACGGGGCCGCGCGCGCGCCGCCGCCCGCACTTCGCGGGGGCTCGCAAGAAGAGATCGACGGCGGAGACCCAGGTCTCCCAAACTCGCATCTCGTCGGTCGCTTGCAGCCCCATCCAGAAATCATGCGACGTGGTGAGGTACTCGAACCCCGAGCGACACAGGGAACCCTCCTTCGCACTGCAGATCGGCAAGAGGGCCGCCGCGGAACAGGCCCAAATGGTCCACCACCCAGCGCGGTGGGCCGCGCGGCCCCGAAAAACGTTTACCACGGGCGAGGCGAAGGCCGCGCGAGCCGGCGGCTGGGAGACCCAGCCGCGAGGACCCCAGGCGCGCACAACTTAGAGGCTCTCTGATGTGTCTTGCCGATGTGCACAACCCTGGGGGCCCTTCGCCTGGCTTCTCGCCTCCGCCGACAAACCGCAGGGGCCATCCGCCGACCCCCAGCCGCGGCGCAAGGCGCCAAATCCCGAGCAACATGTCCTGAGTGAGTGGTAAGCCCCGCAGCCTGAAGATTGGAGACGAGCCGAGCGCCCATCGCCTTAGAGGGCCAGGCTAGGGCACTCTTGTCACTGATGAGGAGCCCCAGCTTCTCGACCTCGTGGCCGAAACGGACGGCAGCATGCAAGCGCCGCGCCGGGAGAGCGTTATCCTCGCCATGCGTACTCTGGAAGATATCATCCACGTAGGCTCCGGTAACCACCTTGGACATCTTGCCGCTGACAGGGTCATGGCAGGCCCCCAGAGCCTCCTGCACGTATATTTTGACCCAGGACATATTCTGGGGGCGCCCAAGAACCCCCCCCGCCCCCCGACCAGCAGCAATCATCCTGGGCACGGCCCCCTCGACCTCCAATATGCTGGGAAAAGTGGGGATACGCATCCCAAGACAAAGCAGAAAGCAGAGGGGGGGCAGTCCATTCGCGTGGCTGGACCGATCAAATTCGGTGGGCTCGCCGTGCCATTTGTCAAGCCCCATTCAACGCAACAGAGACATTGCCTTCCCGCGGAACTGCTTTCAACACCGAAGTCCTCTGAGCGGCCGCATCCCATAACGCGAGGTGTTCCGATGCACATCGACCGACGCCGCGACGGCGCACCTTCCCGCGCAGCCGACAAAAGGACGGGCACTTGCAGACAGGCCTCTCGTCAGCGGCACTCTTCAGGCAAGAAACTATCAATCGCGAGCTGGGCCATCCAAGCCGTCTGACGCTCGCGCCGAGCGCGACGGGAAAAAAGAACGCTCGAGCGCCGGAGCCGGCGGGGCTAAAATCGCTCGAGCCTTCCACCCGTCGGCTCCGACAGCGGTCGCCGCGGAGAGAAAACAGCGACAGGCCTGCAAATCCTCGACTTCGAGAGGCGCGAGGTCGCCCGACCTTTCCAGGGCCGCCTCGCGGACATCAGACATGGCATCGCCAGGCGTCAACCTCTCCTCGTACGACGCGCTCCAGACAGCCGCCAATGCTGGGCGCAATGTGCTCCGCCCCGTCTTGAAAGGGCTGCAGATCTGCGCCCGCGGGGGGGCGAACGACTCAACTGCGGTTTGATGAACCTCCTTCTTCTGCCACGAGTGGGCCCTTCGCCCCATGTGGGATGACCCTGGCCAGCCAGTCGCCGAGGCCCATCCTGGCCCCACCCCGCAGCTGCTGACCGAGCGCGCATAAAAACCTCGGAGGCGGACTGATCCAGCTTCTCAACGATCTCAATATCGGAAAACTTAGACCCGGTGTCAATCCGCCAGAGGGGAAGCCCCGCCAGCGGCGGCGACCCGGAGAAGTTGACGACGCGGGACACCCAGTCCACCGCCAACGTCTGCGCGCAGAGCTCGGCGGCCCTGGCGCGCCTCAGCCCTCCCCCCGCTACTCGAGCAGCTCGGCGGGCACGTTCGACCAGAAGGCGAGTCGGGGATCCCGGTGCGCAATGTCCCCCTCCCGCCCCGATGTGGCGCGGCGGCAGTGCGCGGCGCCGTGGACCCCCCCCCCCCCCCCTGTCGCGCTCGTCACTCTATTACTCCGTGGCGCGGGGCCAGATGACATGACGCGCGTTGACACTGACCCGCGGGTCGGGGTGCTCGGCCGCACGCGGCATCTAATGCTCCAGCTGCACATGGGCGCGGCTCTATCCCTAGAATTTCACCGCGTTTCGCCTTGCAAAGATGCCGCTCCCAAAGATGGTCGGGCCCCAGGCGCCGCGGAACGTTCTGGGGGCGAGCCCGCCCGCGCGGCTTCCGGGCCAACGCCGACGCCAGTTATTCGCCCGCGCAGGCCTTCGCCTGGACGCCCAAACTCCAATGAGCGTGAAAGGGTGGCGGCTCAAAGATGTCGACCTGGGCGGGCGAGGCGTGCTCTGGCGAAGCCGACGCATAGTCTATAAGGCGCCAGACCCTGGCGCGCCGGTAAACTCAGCTCCAACAGGCGCCATCGCGCGAGCATGCAGATACTGTGGATATCCAGATAAGAGCATCGCATCAGCCTCAAGATTGAAAGCCCCAATAGGAACTCAGGGAACCGCCGGGGCCCGAACAAACTCGGCGACGCCCCGCATTTCGACCGAGCTATCTCCCGCGACCCCATGGCAAGACACAACGTGACAAACTCCGATGGTCATCGCGGCCCTCTTGGTCTTCAGGTCGAGGGGCAACCAAGCCGGGCCCGAACCGACGTCGCGATGCCCCAAAGCCTGCGCCACAACTCGCTCTGAACAGAAACTCTCGCGGACAACTGGCCCCGCGCCGCCCCGCGCCCCGCCCCCACCCCCCTCCCCTCGGCATGCCGGCTTGGAAGTGCGAGCGCCAGCCCGCGGCTGCGAGCTCCCTCTTGGCCGCGGGGGGCGCGCGCCCCTGCGACTCGCGGAGCGGGGGGGCATCGCCGCGCGCTCGGACCTCGGATGCGAAATCCTGGGCGATCTTCGACCAAGACGCGATGTTGCAGGACGCCAGCGTCGCGCCGTCGGGCCGCATGGACACTGCGCCCGCTCGAGAGACCTCCGCGCCGCTAAACGCGCTGCCCCGCCCCCAGCAGGGGCCGACGCCGCCAGCTGGGCGATCCCCTTGAACTGGGCGCTGATCTGCTCCTTAGCAGTTCGCATGCGCCTGCGAGTCCTGGCCCTGCTGCGCTTCACCAAGAGCCCCCGCAATCAACCGCGTCCCTCATTGGACAGCACCTGTTCTTGACCGCGCTTTCGGATCTCATCGTCGCCACCCTCAGAGCCAATGTCAGACTCGTCGTCGCTAACATGATCCTCGGACTCGCTGAGGGTCTCCTGCGCAGTGCGGAAAGACTTCGGCAACCCCGCCAGCTGCAGTCGCGCCCCGGCGCAAGCCTGGAGCTCGGCGGTCAACATGTCGGCGAAACCAGGAGACTCGACATCCATGGGTCCCGCAACGGCCTGTGGCGCCCGAGGCGCCGGAGGCGCCGCGCCAGCAACAGGGCCACCACCACCCCAAGCTGGAGCGGCCCCGATGCCGCAGGTGGGGTTTCTGTCGCGGGGCCTGCGGGCTCCTACGCCGCTGCGTGGGACGCGACCTGCAACTGGCGCTGGCGCTCTGCCTCGGCCGCAGCCCGCATCTCCTCCCTCTTCTCGTCCTTCCACTTCCCTGGATCAGATGCCTGCAGGGCCTGCATGCCGGGATCAACTTCGCCACGGGCAACCTCTGCACCATCAAATGCCGACCGACTGTGCCGCGCGAGGCGCTTCCGTAGCCTCCGAAAGCTGCTTGGCGAGCCGAACTTTGCGAGCAACATCTTCGACTGCCTCGGCCAATGTCGTGCGTTCGGCGTTGGTTGCACAACGGGGACGTGGGCCACAGGCTCGGGCTGGGCGTTGAACTCGAGCAAGTTCGCGCGCAGCTCGTGCCGATGCGGCAACAACTTCGCGGCAGCCTTTCGCACATCATCTGGCGGCCCATCAGCACCGAAAGGATCCCAAGGCTGAACAAGCTCCCCAACTGCACCTTGTGCATCATCATGCACTCCTTGTATATAGCTGCGTCCATACTTCGAGAAATGAGTGTACCCGCGACTGACGTACTCCAGATGCTTGCAATTTCCACACACAATGTAAGCCCTTGGCCGTTTTTTTGTTCTTGGCGCGTCCTTGCCGCCCCCCGCCGTTTTCCGAAGGCTGAAACACCCAAGTGCCCTTCCTCGCCGAATGATTGCCCGAATGGGGCTTCCACCAAGGAGGGTCATCAGCCATGTCTGTACACGGAGCGGGCGCGAGTGAGAAACCGTAGAAAAATTTGGAGCGCTGCGCTCAACAAGCGCTGCAGCCTTGGCTACAGAGAAGCCGAAGCAAATCGCTGGTTCTCGGGCGTCTATAGTCCTCAACAACTGTCCGCCTTGAACCAACATTGCCACGGGAGAGGAGGGGGAGAAAAAAGGGAGAAGGAAGAGGAGAGGAGGAGGAGGAAGAACGCTCGACTCGGAGGGAGGCGCAAACGATTAGGAGAAGGAGGAGGATGGCGGACGAGAACGAGGATGGAGGGGAAGAGCGGGCCCGCCGACACCGGCAAGCCGAGCCTCTCCCCCACGCCCGCGCCGTCGTCGGCGAACAGCTGCAGGCGCAGGTTTAGAGACGCCGCCGCCAGCGCAGTATACAGGTCGATCACCGCGGCCTCCGCGCTGCCCTCACTAATCGCTCCTTATGCCCAGCCCCTGCCCCGCCTTAGCCCGCCCCTCCTCTCTCCGCCGCCACCCTGGTCAACCTCCCCCGCCCGCCCTATCCGACCTGTCGACCTACTATCTGCTCCCCAATCATCCTCATCCTCGGGCGCTTTCTCCTCTTCCTCCTCCTCCTCCTCCTCCTCCTTTTCCTCGTCCTCCACCTCCTTCGCTTCTTCGTCTTCCGCCTTATCTTTTTTGCCGTCGATCGCTTCTTTGTCCTCTCCGCCTCCCCATACTTTCAATCATCCATCTACCACGCTCCCCTCCTCCCTGTTTACCTCCCCTCCTCCCCTCCCTCTTCCACTCCTCCCATGCTCTTTCCTAGTGGGTGTCGCTTCACCCGCCCAGTCTGTGATCGAACAAAATGACAATACATATATATATATATGTGTTTTACAGAAAGATAACATATGCCAACGCTGCGCCTTCTCATGAAGTGTCAGCCTAAGGGGGTTGGACTTTATCGATTGCCCTGCGGCCAGGGGCCAGGGCCCATTCTCCTCTCCCCTTCCCTCCCCCCACGTGTCCCCTGCATTCCTGTTGTATGGCGGTGGCCAGCGTCACCACCCGCCGTCTTCCTGCATTTCCCAAAGGCTCCTGCAGATATTGTTCTCGCCGCGCTCGGAGTGCGTGTCACGCTGGATGCAGCTCGCAGGTTGCGCGCAACAGGGAAGAGGTGATAGAAGAGGCTTCTACAACTCTTGAGCACACCCAGCTGCCAGAGCGGAGCCCCGGAGCATCCAGGCGCGAGCGAAATCGTCGCCCCGCTCCGCTCTCTCCTCTTCTTCCCCACCGTCCTCTCCCTCTACTCTCCCTTTTTCACTCTGCTCTCCCCCTCCACTCCACCCTTCTCCTCCCCATTATCTCTCCATCCTCGCCTTCTCCACCCCCTTCCTGGTCTCCCCTCCTTCTCTCACCTTCCCCTTTCTGCCCCTTTCCCCCTCCTTCCCTTTCCCTCTCCCATCCCCCTCCTCCTCTCTCTCCGCGCTCGCATTCCCATCCCTCTCCCCCTCTCTCCCTGATCCTTCTCCCCCTCGCAGTCTCCCCCTGTCCCCGTCTCCCCTGATCCCCCTGATCCTCTCTCTCTCCACGCGCGCGCAGGGGGCAAGGGGGAGGAGGGAGGGATTGAGGGAGGGAGGAGGAGGCGGAGGAGGAGGACAAAGGGAGGAGGAGAAGACGGACCAATGTAAACCCAAGACTCATCAACGAGACTGCAACAAACCCTCCTTCCAAGTTCCCTGTTCACAGGCCCCTGCGAGGGATGTATTTTCACTGAGGGACGTGCCCCGTTGAAAAACAACAGTACCGAAAACCCTGAGCTGTGCCAGAGCACAATTCCTGGGACTTCAACGCCGCAGATCACTGTTACTGTTCCGGCTTGACGATTCTGATTCGCGTCAGAACACAAGTCCTGGGACGCCAGCACCTCGAATCAACGTGATTGTCGCGCTCTGGCAATCCTAAATCGTGACACAACACCATGTCTGGGACGTTAGTCATGCGAACCCTTGCAACTGCTTGAAACTCTTGACACGAGTGTGCGCGGCGCTAACGCGAGGGCCACATGTTCAAACATATCACCTTCCTTACGCATTTAAGACAAATGCGCGCGGTGCGAAGGCGAGAAACACATTGTGAATGCGGGCCGCCATCCATTGAATCTCTTGCAACTGCTTTGAACGAATGTGCGCGGTGCTAGAGCGAGGACACTATTTTGAAAACGACCCGCCTTTAATTGGCGAAACCCTTTCAATATGTTGAAAATTAGATGTAGGCGGCAATAAAACGATAACCACATGTTGAGAACGACCTGCCCTCAATCCGTCAATCTCTTACATGTTTGTCAAAACGAATGTGCGCGGCGCGAAGGCGGGAACCTCATTTTGAAAGCGACTGCCCTCCATCCGCGAAAATGTCGCACATTTCAAACTTAAGGGTCACTAGTGGCGAAGAAGTCTCAGGCGGAAACGCCAGGCCCGACTTTTCGACACGCCTCGGGGTGCAACAGGAAGGAGTTACTTCGAATGACAATGAATGGAAGAGGAGCAGGAGGAACTGGACAAGGAGGAGAGCGGAGAAATGCGAGGGGGAGTTGTGATGGTGAGGGAGGGAGGGGGGAGAGGGAGGGAGGAGGTGATGATTATTATGATGATGGTGGTGATGATGATGATGCTGATAATGATAATGATGATGATGATGATGATGAGGAGGAGGAGGAGGAGGAGGAGGATGCTGCTGATGATGTTGAGGATGATGCTGATGACGATGATGATGCTGATGATGCTGCTGATGATGAGGAGGAGGAGGTGGAGGAGGAGGAGGAAACCCTTCTCCTCCTCCAGCCCCCCTTCTCCCCTTGCTGCGAGGCCAAGCGCCTCAGCGGCGGCAATTGTCGCCGACTCGGCGCCGTCGAGCGCCGCCGCGGCGCCGCAGATCGGCACCCCCGACAAGCAATCCTTCGGCGGCGACGGGCGGCCAATAGGAACAGGAAAGGGCGACACCACCACACCACCGCCACCACCCGCGCGAGGCGCCAGCCCTCCTGGCGGTGTGGTTTCCCCGCGCTCTCGCTCGAGGCGTCCCCCATCCCCAGCTCGGGAGGCATCGTGGACCTCCTCGCAGGAGGTGGCCCCGCTGGTGGTCGTGGTGGTGGTGGTGGTGGTGGTGGTGGTGGTGGTGATGGTGGTGGTGGTGGTGTCGCCTCTCCTTCCTCCGATGGGGAGCATGAGGGCGAGGTAGAGAGAAGCGCGGCGGGGAGGCGCTGGGATCTGCGTGCTACCACGCGCGCCCACGCAAGTGGCCGAGAGACAGGACAGGAAACCATCGCAGCGCGGCGTGCGACCGAGGTGGTGGGGGAGGGTATGGGTGGGGGGTGAGGAAGGGGGATGAGACAGGAGATGGAAGGAGGGGAAAGAGGGGAGAGAGCGCGAAGATGCAGGGGAAGCTCCAGGGGGGGGAGAAGGAGCAGGGGCACGCGGAGACTCAGCGGCAGATGGTGGGAGACGGAGGAGCAGGAGCAGGATGGCGCCTCCTGCCTTTTTGAAGGGGCCCCAGGACACACAAATAAATACACACACGTAAACATATTCCCCATATTTTCCCATATTTTCTGGGTGTTTGTCTTCCCCCCCACTTCCCATAGTTTCCCATATTTTCATGGGGATCGACGATTAATTGTGTCCGTGTGTTTCTTTCCCTCCTGACTTTTGCGCCTGCGCCCCATAAGACATAGAAGGCACGAGCAGGAGGAGCCCAAATCTCCTCGACGGCGGCTCGCCGCTGCGCCCAGGAGTCCTCCCCGGACAGCGCGGCGAACTCCTCGGGGCCGGGCCGCCGACCCAACAGCCGGGAGGGCCGCCGTCGGCCGCAGCTGGTCCGCGGGAGCGCTGGGTGACTTCCTTTGGCGCATCGCACCCCGCGATGAGCGATTCTCTTCGCGAGGCCTCGTGTGATCGAGTCTCGTGCCAAAAAAAACAGCTTCGCGTTCGGACCTTCAGGGGCTGTTCGGGCCAGATTGAAGGGGCCCTGGGACACACACGAATAAATACGCACAAATGACGTGGTTTCCCATATTTTCATGGTTTTTGTCTTCGCCCCCACTTCCCATATTTTCCCATATTTCCCTGGGAGTCGACGATTGTGTCTGTGTGTTTTTCCCCTCCTGACAGATTGCCTTGAGAAGGGCAGCCGCTCTGGCCCAGATCGCTACGCTCGAAGCGCGAGTACCTCTGCGCCCAAGCAGGCAACCCAAGGGGTGCGGATATATACTTTAAGTCGTAAAGTCGCGTACACGTCCGCATGAATGAGGCGAGCACGTCATCTCGTTTACCTTCCTCCTCCCCTTCTCCGCTCCACGTCGTTTCTGTTTCCGGACGGCGACCATCGGTGACCACGGCCCCGTGGCATACGACCGCGAGGTCGATTGCCAAACGGCGGAGAACAAACACGGGCGCGCGAAGCGAGGAGGAGGGAGAAGGAGGGAAGACACAATGAGCGAGCTGCGAGTGCGTGACCCCATGATCCCCTCCTCCTCTCCTCTCGGGGGTAACGAGAGGGGGAACCCGTTCAAGGGGGGAACGTCGACCTGTGCTCGGCGACACATGTCACGGTGTCACGGATAGATCGGAGATGGGCCCCCGATAGCGAGAGGCCGCACGCTTCTGGGCGGGGTGGGCTATCGGGCCCCCACATCGGCGACGGGTGGGCGGCTGTAGGCGGCGAGCGTCGGGGGGAAGTGAGACGGGGCGGGGCTTCTCAGAAGGCGCGGGAGTCCCCGGGCCTTCTGAGAAGTTTTCTGGGCCTTCGCCGAAGACACAGGAGACTTCTCAGAAGGCGCGAGGGCGTCTGAGAAGTCCCGCCGCCCTCCGAGACGGCCTGCTCCTTCTCGCTTCCCTCCCTCGCTCGCCGCCGAGATGGGGGGTGGATGCGTTCCCCCTGAATCCACCCCCCCCCTAACGCTGCCCCTGATCCCTCCTCCTCCATCTCCTCCTCCATCTCCTCCTCCTCCTCCTCCTCCTCCTCCCTCTCCTCCATCATCTCCTCCTCCTCCTCCTCCTCCATCATCATCTCCTCCTCCTCCTCCTCCATCATCTCCTCCTCCTCCTCCATCATCTCCTCCTCCTCCTCCTCCTCCTCATCCTCATCCTCCTCCTCCTCCTCCCCCTCCTCCTCCTCCTCCTCCTCCTCGGGTCGCCCACGGCCCCGGGACGCCGTCGGCCCGCCTCGGCTCTCGCGGGCCCCCGCCTCCCCTCCCTGCCCGCCCGGGGCGAGGGGGGCGATCGGGGCCCCGCCGCGGGGAGGCCGCGCGGCCTCGCGGCGGCCCGACGAGGGGCGGGGGCGGGCGGGGGCCTGCCCGGGGCGGGCCTGCGGTCGTGGGTGCCTCGGCAGTGGACACCCTGAACAGTGGAAGCTTGGAAATTGGCACCAACACCAACATCAGGGCTTGCCTCCACGGGAGGAAGACGATCCTGGATTGCGGTGCTGGTGGTAATAGTTCGGCCACCTAGAAGGCCCGAAATAGTACCACCATCACCTGGATCGGGATCATCTTCCCTCGGTGGAAGCACGCCGCCGATATTGGTGTTGGTGCCAACCTCTAGGCCTCCGAAAACAGTCCTATCATTGAACTTAAACATGGTGTTTCAAGTGTAGGAGGAATGCCCTGAAACTGTTTGAAACATTTTTTCAACAACAAAAAAAAAGAAAAACAGTTTTTGAACCGCTTGAACACAGTGCCTAGACATCTGGAAAGTGTTTGGCAGCATGCTTCCTCTCCATTGATCGTCCTCCACAAGCCTACGGCGCGTGGGGCGGGGGGGGTGGACGGGAAGTTGAAAGGGGACCCTGGGGGGGTCCTACCGCACTGGCGCCAGTCCCGCCTGCGCAGCGGCGCACGCTGGAAAGTAACGGCACTGGTGATGGACACCTGTATTCCATGGCACGCTAGAAATGACGCGTGTGGAAGAGGGGGGGTCGCTGTCCGCATCCACAGGGCTTACGGTTACGTTGATTGTTCTTGGCCCGCCATGTGATCGAAAGACGTGGCCACGCGAACCGTCGCATCTCCCCGCAAACGTGATCTGCTCACTTTGACTCAGGGCATCCTCCGTGAGGCCCAGGAGTGCACGCGTCAGCTCGGAGCTCAACGTCCGACTCCCCACGTGAGCCCCTTCATGGAGGAGCGATGCCCTCCTCTCCGAAGCCCGAGGGGAGGGCGGACCGCAACTGGCGAGGCCGACCCGCCCCTGGGATTTGCGCGGTGATCACTGACCTCTTCACCCTCCTCACCCTCCTCACCCTCGTCAGCATCAGCATCAGCATCAGCATCAGCATCAGCATCAGCATCATCATCATCATCATCAGCATCAGCATCAGCATCAGCATCATCATCATCATCATCATCATCATCATCGTCATCATCATCATCATCATCATCATCATCATCATCATCATCATCATCATCATCATCATCATTAGCATCATCATCAGCATCAACATCATCATCAGCACCATCATCACCATCAGCATCAGCATCAGCATCAGCATCAGCATCATCAGCAGGACCATCATCATCATCATCATCACCACCACCATCATCATCATCATCATCATCATCAGCATCATCATCAGCATCATCACGAAATATCATATCTAAGCCCCCTTCATCGGCCGCTAATGTCTGGGCCCTGGAGACAAGCCAATCGGGTGTTCTTCGCCCTCGCATCGAGATGGAGAACGGAAGCGAGGGGGCTGGGTGGAAGAGGGGACCAGGGAGGGGAAGAAGCCAGAGTGGAACAGAGGTGGGAGAAAGGGGTCAGGGAGAGTGGGGGGCAGGGGAGGGACGAGATAGGGCAGAGGGAAGGGGGCGGGGAGGGGAGGGATAGGGCGGCAGGGGCGGCGGCGGCGGCGGCGGCGATCGCATCAGGAACACGGGTCCTCGTCTTCTGGCAGGCAGCTCAAACACGGCCAACTAGCACCAGCAAAACATTGTGTCCCAAGAGGGGAGGTTCGGCGCCCGAGTTATCCGGGGTAACTCGGGCCCGGGGTAACTCGGGTTTGGATTCCCGAAAAACGAACCCGAGTTAGCCCTGACCCGAGTTACCCCTGATGATTTGGGGCTCTGGGCGCCCGAGTTATCCGGGGTAACCCGGGTCCGGGGTAACTCGGGTTCGGAATCCCGAAAAAAACGAACCCGACTTAGCCCTGGCCCGAGTTACCCCTGATGATCTGGGGCTCTGACGAGGGATGGGGACTGCGAGGGTGGACTGCGAGCAAAACACTGTGTAAGAGGGGAGGGACCTCCTCCCCCTCCACCTCCTCCTCCTCCTCCTCCTCCTCCTCCTGGGGACTGCGAGGGTGGACTGCGACCGGAGAGCCCCGTCCTCGGCCGGCGAGACCCGCTCGTGCGTCCAGAGCTGCGGCGCCCGCTGCCGCGGCTCCTGGCCCCGCGGGCTCCGGGCCGGCGCGCGCCGCTCGGGCCGCGGCTCCCGTGCCGCCGCTCGCCCCCCCGCGAGCCCCGTCCACCAGACCTCCCCCGCGAGCCCCCCCCCCCCCCAAACCACCAGACCTCCCCTCCTGCCCCCCCTCGCTGCTCCACGAGGGGGCCACGTGCGAACCCTACCCCCGCCTCCCGCGATCTCTGAGGGAAAGGGTGGGGTTGCACTTCGTCTGGGAGCTCCCGAGCGAAGTGAGCCCCACCCTCCCCCTCAGAAATCGTGGGGGGTAGGGGCAGGGTTCGCGTGTGGCCCCCCTCGCTGCTCCATCCCTTACTCCCCGCAGCTCCCCCCCCCCCCCCGCCCTCCTGTCTTGCCAACGCTCGGACGTCCATTTCCCGTGCATGTTCCGGTATCGTGCGTGCTTTTTTCTTTGCTCGATGGTCCAGGATGCACCTCGATGGTTCCCCCGAAAAACAAATGCAGACGTCCAAGCGATGCCAGTCCATCCGCCTCCTCCCTACCACCCCCCGGCCCTCTCCTCCGCTGCTCCGTTCCACCTCCGGCCCTCCTCGTCTCCAGCTCGCCCCCCTCTCCAGCGGCCGACGAGGGGAGAAACCTGAGGAAGCGATTGAGAACCCCCTTTGTGTCACCGTTAGCACTGGAACGAACGCATTGAATTCGCGGGAGCGGGCTTAGCGGAGCGATATCTTTAGCACCGCACCGAACCGCACACAAATCCGTCGACCCCTTGGGGTCACGGCGTGTGAAATGCTTCCCCCTCCCCAAACCCTTCCCCCGGGGGCCTAGTCCGGCCGGTTTGGAGGGCCCGGGGGGGGGGAAATCCATCATCCGCACACTTGGAGCCTCAGGAGGCCCCAAAACGGGCCAAAAAGGTTCCAAAGGATCCCAGAATGGTCCAAGAGAGCTACGAATCGACGAGAGATCGTCCCAAAACGCCGAAGCTTGCATTCACACGGCTCCATAAGTCCCCAAGACGTTTGAAACAATATTACGAGGCGCCCCAAAGAGGCCCTCCAGAAGCAAAAATCGTCACACTTCCTACGGGAAACATGCATTTTCACCACATTCGCCCATTCGGCTTCCACGCGGCGCAAAACGGCCCCAGAAGCCTCCAAGATCGACCCTCGCCAGCCCAAGAGGCTCCCAAGAAAGCTCCAAGACGGCGTCCCGGAGATCCACGAAGGCCCCAGAACCCATAGCAACTGCTTACCGCAGGACGGTCCCAAGAGGGCTCCAAAACGAGGCGAGAGGGCCCCCAAAGGCTGTCCGAACGGCCCACGCTGGGGACGATTCGGTCCAAACCGCCCAAGATCGCCGCCAGACGGCCCCATGGGTGTCCAAGACGCTTGAAAGCGCGACCGCGAGACGCTCCAAGAAGGCCTCCAAAACAAAAAAACCGTCCCATTCCTGAGTTAAGACGTACATTTTCAGCACATTCGCTTCTTGGGCTTCCACAAGGCCCACAACGGCCCAATAAACCTCCAAAATCGACCCCTGTCACCCGGAGAGGCTCCCAAGAAGGCTCCAAAACGGCTTCCGGGCGTTACATGAAGGCTCCAGAAACCATAGCAACGGCCCAGGAACGCCGCAGGACGGCCTCAAGAGGGCTCCAAAACGGGCCAAGAGGGCACCCAAAGGCTGTCCGAACGGCCCGTGCGGGGGATGATTCGGTCCAAACCGCCCAAGGACTGCCTCCAGAAAGCCCCATAGGCGTCCAAGACGCTTGCATACGCGACCACGAGGCGCTCCAAGAAGGCCTCCAAAAGCAAAAACCGTCCCATTCCCTAGGTAAAACGTACATGTTCAGCACCTTCGCTTCTTGGGCTTCCACGAGGCCAACACACGGCCCAGCAAATCTCCAAGATCGGCCTCTGGTACCCCAAGACACTTTCCAAAAGGCTCCACGACGGCCTCCGGGCGCCCCACGAAGGCCCCACAAACCATAGCAACGGCCCGGGGGAATGGCCGGACGGTCCTAATCAGGCTCCTGAACGTGTCTAGAGGGGCCCCACAGGCTGTCCAGACAGGCCACGCGGGGGATGATTGCTGCCGCCCCAAGGGGTCGACGGCGTGGCGTAAGCCAATGAATAATATGTTTCCCCCCCCTTCCCCGCGACCGACATTTATAAGAAGGATTGGCGGTCAGACCGCTAGAACCTTGAACGCCGTAGATGGCGAACTGTAAATAGCCTGAGGGCTAGCCAATGAAAACCGCGAAAGACGGGCCGCACAAGCCGGGGTGCCAGGACAACGCCTCCCACCGAAACCATGAAGCCAATGCCGCCTGATTTGGCAGCGAACGTCGACTTTGCATGAAAGCGGGGCCCGCCGCTAGCCAACGCACCTATCCATGCTGACATTTCCTCGATTGCTCCCCTTCTCCTCCTCTCCTCCCTCCTCCTCACCCACCTTCCCAAACCTCACTCTCCCCGTCGTTTGCCTCCGCCTGAAACTTCCCCTGCTCCTCGTGTCGGCCCTCTGCCTGGCCACATTGTAGCCGGTCCTCAGCATCCGACGACTCGCCCGTCTGGTCGTCGCCCTTCGAAACCTCCGCGCGCAGGGCGCAAGACGCGAAACAACGCGTTCGACATAGACTCCCCGCCACCTTTGCGATCATCCGTCGGAAAAAAAAGGTACGGCCCTCTCGAACGGAGCTTCCTGGCAAACATTGTCCCACAACTCTGGCAACGCGATGTGCGCCAGACGGAGTGAGCTTCGTGCCCGAACCGCAGGCAACGCGATATGCGCCAAACACGAGCTGGCACGCTCGAAACGAACTTCTCGCCAGCTTCGCTTTCAATCCCACCTGCTGCTGGACGCGAGACTTGCCTTCTACAACATGTGCGGGGGTGATCCTCTGCCGACGCCGCTGGCAGCGCGATTTTCGCCAGACGCGAGACGGTACTTTTGAGAATCGGCTCCTGCCGACGGCGCTGATCCTGAAGAGCTCCTCATCCTCCCCGCCCCCTCCCCACCTCCTCCCCGCCCCCCACCTCATCCTTACATTATCCTCCCACTCCTCGTCTCCTCCTCCTCCTATTCCTGCCCCTCTACCCCTCCCCATCGTCCTCCTCCGCCTACTCCGCCTCCTCCTCCTCCTCCTCCTCCTCCTCATCCTCCTCCTCCTCCTCCTCCTCCTCCTCCTCCTCCTCCTCCGTATTCCACTCCCCGCATATTCCTCCTCCTCCTCCTGTGCGGATTGTACGGGTGTGGCTGTATGGATACGGATAACAGGAGACACGAGGTACAAGTAATGGGACTTGTGCTAGAAGGGAGCACGTTTCTTTTCCTTTTTACGGGGGCGTGGGCGCGTCCGCCACCGGCGCGCCATGATAGCTCAAGGGCCCATGTGGGCCGATACGGCGGCGCACAACGGAATACAGAGGCAGGCGCCGAAGGAGGAGAGGCTGACAAGGGGCTCTGCAACCACAGTCCCTACCTTTCTTGCAGCCGAAACGCCGCCTTGACCCAGAAGGCGCAATTCTTCCCTCAATAAATACCGTAGCCATTCCACGAACTACCAGAGCCTCAGTGACGTGCAGCTGGTACACCTTCACGAACATGTGGGACTCGAGAACACTGTAAAGAGAGATCCTTAAACGGATTGTTTGCCTCGAGGTCCGTTATGACAACGAGTTCATCTGACTTCGCTGCGTCAGTAGCCTGCCCCATCTGGTCCGTGAAACTATCTGGCTCGCGTCCACGGTGGTCGTATATTTTGCCAGTGCGTTCGTAGAGCCGATCTGCCGCACTGAGCTCCTTGGCCCACTGAAGAGAGGTGGGACCCTGCTAGGCCTCGAACGCCCGGAAGCCAGAGTCCTCGATCACTTCATCTGAATACGCGTGCACACTCGGAAACGCTGTCGGAATGGCCCTTGCGAAGTACATCCTGATCGTGCGATTCCAGACCTTGCACCATCCAAAGACTTGCTCCTTTGCCTGTCTATTGTCCCAAATATGCCTCATCGTCGCAGCGTGGATTCAGGGCGCCTCGATGTAGACGCTGCCTTCGGTCTGGTTCCACTGTTTGTGGACATGTTGCTTGGGATAACCTGCGCGACGGCGGCGATCCACTCGCAGCTCGAAGATGCAAGAGTACACGTTCATCTCTGGGCTGGCGTCCGACGACACATGCACCGTGCAGTGAGCGCAGGAGGTGCGGCGAGACGTCCTCTCACAGAGAATGCCGCAGACGTTCTCACAGCTCGAACGTCCTGGCTTCAGCTCAAACAGCCCATCTTGCTCCAGATAGATGCCGCTGCTGCCAAGTTGGCACCAAGATGGGCGGTCTCGGTCTGGGCCTTCTTCTTGCTGCGCCCCTCGTCATGCTGCCTCTCCCGAACACATGTCGCAGTCGGATCCATTATCCGCCGTTGTCCAATGTGATTCGCCACTGGCCGCTGGACATGGGGACCGTCGATAAGTTCCGAGATATATGCATGAGTAAAACGGGAGTCTCGACCCAATATTGAACTCCCAGCGCCAACGCGATCAAAACAGTCGCTGTGATGGATGGCGCCGCCTAGGTGGTCTCTCGTCGCTTCGACCTTGTGGCTCGTCTTCCAGCGTTCGCTCATCATTTTGCTGAAGACCTTTTTGTTTTTCCTGGAGACTGTGTAGGCCTTCCCCCCGCGAGCACTGATGTACTTTTCCTCCGGCCCAAGAAGTATTTCACCCTGCTCTGCTGGAGGTCCTTCCAGTCGCGGAGCACCGGCGTGGTGGTCAATAATCGCTGCCTCCTTCGTGGCCTCGGTGACAGATCCCCCCATTGGTGGAGGATTCTCGACGAAGTGTTCGAGGATCACTGCGCCGTTCAACTCGCTGAGGTCTTGCAGTCTGCGTGTCATTTCTGCTCCTGCGCCTACTTCGCCGTGGGTCCTGATCTGGTCCACGATGTCCTCGATGGCCTTCTCGCCTTCTTTCGCCAGCTCCCCCCAAGCGACCGTCATCTGCGGACTTTCCCGTGGGCGACGCAACAGGTTTCTGCCGACCCTCGGAAGGTCGTCGTAGTTCACGTTGGGGATGATGGCCAGCACTGCAGGCGCCCAGCGAGACTGGTCGCGGAATGACATCGCGACGAACTCCAACGAGGGATGAGGATCAGAAGGATCATTGAATTCGGTGTCCGTGCACACCTCGAAGTATGCGTAGAGGTTGTCGTAGTCCCCAATATCGTCTCCGTTCTCCAGGCAGTCCTGCGCGATTTCGCCCTCGAATGCGTTGCGCGACTAAACCAGACTCTGAGCGATGCCCGGTGGCATTTGCGTCGGCAACTTCAGCCAAACGCGGAGAGTAGACTGTCTCGGGTACTGATGTTGCACGGCCATCGCATCCGACGTTGGGTCGTTCAAGGTCTCGCTGAAGCTCGAGTTCTGAGCGGACAGCTGAGCGCGGCTCTTCAGTGCCAGGTAGTAGGTCACATCGTCGGTAGGCCAACGTCCGTTCCTCTCGAGTCCCACCAGCGCTTTAGGGCGCAGGTCGTTTAGGGAGTTTCCTCTTCCACCCCCCTTCTTCCCCTTCGGGGAAAGGTCATCGCTGATCCCCATTGATGAACTCCCCGTCCCCCGCCTGGCCAGCAACCAATCCGCAACCGCGCGCGCGCCGCGGGGGCGCCCCCCCCCCACCATCCCTGTCAGAAAACAATGCGGACCGCACATTGCGAGGCCCACCCTGCCAGCGACCTCCACAACCCCTATCAAAAAACAATGCGAAGTGCACGTTGCACAAAATCTGAACAGTGCGCTGGCACCCTGCTTGCGCGCTGTATCGTTTTTTGATGGGGGTGGCGGGGCACCCTTAGAGAAGCCGCTTTGCGCGGGACCACCACCCGTGTCAAAAACAATGCAAACTGCACGATGCGACAACTTCGTGGGCATTGTTGCTGGCCACCCGCGATTGAATTGCATTGTTTTTTTGACAGGGGCGGCGGCGGTGCCCGCGTGATGACGTCTGCCGCGCGCAGGCCCAGAACAATGCTGACGCCCCCCAAATCAGCATTTGGACCATGCGGACGGGGGGGCATCAAGCTTTTTTCACCAACATTATATATATATATATATATATATATATATATATATAATGGCACTCCAACTGCGTGCGGAACCCGCAGCGAGCGTCGCGCACCTGGCGCCCGCATTGGCGCCCAGCGGCTGCCCATCCAGCGGCGACCCCTGGCTGCGCCGAGACCCGGATGCCACTTGTGTGCCGGGGGGGCGAGCGGGAGTGAGCTAGACACCTCGCGTGCGGAGAGGGTGTCTTGACCCCTCCCCCTACCCCCTCCCCTTGGACCTGGACGGGGGGTTCCGCGGGCAGTTGGGGCGCCCGAGCCGGCCTCGGCGAGGAGCCAAAATCGTCGGCGCCACTCAGGCACCGGCCCCGTCTTGGCCTCCTGGAGGGGGGGGGCCGCAATTAAGGGCCCCCCCTTCTTTGATCGATCTCCTCCGAAATGGCGCCGAGAGCGCCGAAGGCCCCCGGGGGCCCCCAGGATGCCCCAAGAGGCTCCCAATAGACCCCCAAGAGACCCCAAGAGGCCCGCCAGAGGAAGCCAAAACGCTCCAAGAAGCCTCGCGCACGCGCGCGCGCACCCACGCCCGCGCCCGCGCCCGCGCCCACGCCCGCGCCCACGCCCGCGCCCACACCCACACTCACACCCACGCCCATGTCCAGGGCTGGCCGCAGGCACCTCCCGAGCGCCTTTCCTGGGCCGCCCGCAGGCACTGCGCGAGTGCCTTCCCGGGCGCCCGCAGGCACCTCGAAAGCGCCTTTTCTGGGCTCCCCGCTGGCACATCCCAAGCGCCTTTTCTGTGTTCCTGGGCCGCGCGCAGGCGCCTCGCAAGTGCCTTTCCAGAGCTGCCCGCAGGCACTTCCAAGGCACCCTTCCTGGGCCGCCCGCGGGCGCCGCGCAAGTGCCTTCCCCAGGCGCCCGCAGGCACCTCCAAAGTGCCTCATCCTGGGCTCCCCGCTGTCGCCTCCCAAGTGCCTTCCTGGGTTCCTGGGCCGCGCGCAGGCACCTCGCAGGTGCCTTTGCAGGGCTGGCCGCAGGCGCCTCCCAAGTGCCTTTCCTGGGCCGCCCGCGGGCGCTGCGCAAGTGCCTTCCCCGGGCGCCCGCAAGCGCCGGCGACGACTGCTGCGACGACGTCGGCGACAAGGCGGCCTTGAACCTGGAGGCGGCTGGGGGGGTCTGCACTGGAAAAACCAAAAAAACCTGGAAGGCGATTCTTTATGTTCGGCGATGACGGGCGCTGCGGGGGGGGGGGGGGCGAGGGCGGGGGGGGGCGCGACGTGGCGCCCCCCCCCGCCGCGCGGCTCCGGCACCGCAGCCGCGCCCGCGGGCGCGACGCGACGAGCGACGAGCGACGAGCGACGACGACGACGCGAGCAGCATGTAAGTGGCGATCTGCCCATTGCGCCTGCGCGCACCACAGCGCTCGCGTGCGCCACACCGCGCGCGTGCGCCACAGCGCCTGCGTACACCGCAACAGCCGTGTGCAACGCACCGCCCGTGCATACCACAATACTTGGGAGCGCTACAGCGCCAGTGCACATACG